TTGAGAGGAAAGTCACCCTGGTAAGGGATATCCGAAATTGCACACAAAAATGTTAAGAGCTTTCTTGAAATTGCCAGGCTCCAATCTGACTGGCCAGCTTCACACAATTTCCGAGCTCTGGGATGTACTGTACAAGCTTTTATAAGACCACTGGAAAATAAAGTGAAGTTTGCAACGATATAAGGTATCATTCATCTACATAGCACAAATGGTGTGGGACAAGTTACGCATCAAAATTTTATGGGTTTGCTCAAATTTCTAACACTAATTATGAGTACTTTGCTCACATTTACCGTTTTTTGTCAAAATCTAGTCATTTAAATAGGAAACCATGCAATCTGGTAAATCTACGTAGGGGCAAAATTCTGCAAGTTGGTCACAAATTTGCCATAATGGCCAAGACTAACAGAAAACTACTTGGTTTTAAAATGTGAGCTGTTGACTAAATAATAAACATCTTTTGTCTGCGAAATTTAGTCAAAATAGCCTTAATATTCCCTTTAGTGAGCATAGCTATCAAATATTTGATTTCTGAAGTTTTCAGGACAAATATTGTTTTGAATGCATTCTTTCTTTATAAATGTCCTTCTAGTTGACAGTATGTACAGTAAAATTATGGCTAGGGTTTTTTTAAATTTCTTTTAAAGGACAAGTTTGATGTTTCTCAACCAGCTTTGTATTATTACAGTGTCGTGGTATATGTAAATGACTGTCGGGTAGATGTAACTGAGAGGCCAGGAAGGAGTTAGGAAGGCTCAGTACAACAGGGTAAATTTCCAGTTGCTCACATTTATTAGAGACATGCCACCAATCAGTGATGATTTGTGAGTGATATTTCAAGAAAAAAACAGAGAGAAAAATAAACAAAGTAACAAAAGTAAAACAAAATAAACACTGAAACTACAAAACACCAAGAAAAATGCTGTCAGCAGCAAAACCTACAGCTTAAAACCACTTGCAGGAGTATTTCATTCAGTGTATACACATCTCACAGCAGACATACACTTAAAGTCAAAACAGTTTCAGCCTTCTGCCCCCACCCAACTACAAACACACTGATTAAATAGGCTATTTTCCCGCCAGACATTAATGGCACAAGCCAATCACGGGGGAGCACATATCACAATGTACATCTCACAGAACATTTCCTCAAAACAGAAATACAAAATAAAATAAAAGACGTATATACCAAAGAGAAATACCTCTTATACACCGCATAACCACACTGAAACAGACTTATTCATATAACTGATGTGTTACTACATCTCCTAGCACCCCCCACCCATTTAGAAAATGGAATGATCTTAAACTACAGAAGGGCTCCGGTTACGCGCGCTACCGGAGCACTCTTTGCCTAAACTGGAGCTGACAGGTAAGACTAGGGATGGGCGATACCACTTATTTTGTTTTCGATACGATACCGATATTTTTCAAGGCAATATCGTCGATATCGATACCGATTAGATACTTCTGAACTAAACTTTTAAACTATGAAATGTATTAAATTATTAAATTACTAAGAGTAAAATGGGTAATGATAAGCACTTAACTTTATGTTTAAAATTTTTTCTCCAGCTAACATGGAGAAAGACAAAACAAAGCTGGTTGAAAATCAGCAAACTTGGCTTTTAAGTTTTTAGCAACATGCAGGGTCACAGTACGTGCAAACCCTGGAGCGTTCACACATCTGCAGGAAGCTTAACAGTTTTTCCTGCTACAGTGACAGACACTGATTCACACCCAAGCTCCACCTTCTGCCCACAACAGTGTTTTTTCTTTTTCTTTTTCTTTATTTTTTTTTTCTCCGTTGATTTCAGGTCTAAAATTTTAAACCTAAAACAGCTGTTTATTTCTGTTCGGTGCCCAGATTATAGAAGTGAGTGAAATGGGTAAAGGTCAAGCTCCATCCAGTCCTTAAAGGTCACTAATGAATGTAAAGGATTTCCAAGGGGAAGTCGTGGCCTAATGGTTAGAGAGTCGGACTCGTAACCCAAGGGGTTAACGATCTCTTCCACCTTCAATACCACGACTGAGGTGCCCTTGAGCAAGGCACCGAACCCCCAACCCCAGCATAAATGGCTGCCCACTGCTCCGGGTGTGTGTTCACGGTGTGTGTGTTCACTGCTGTGTGTGTGCGCACTTAGGATGGATTAAATGCAGAGCACTAATTCCTAGTATGGGTAACCATACTTGGCCACACGTCACGTCAAGAAATAGCCTTGTCATTTTCCAGGCATTTGCATCTAAAGCTTAATAGTGTATTGTCGGGTCTTTCCCCCCTGGAGCTAAGATCAAAATGGTAATCAGGTATTTCTGCAATCTTTTCACTGGATCTGAATCTTAAGCACAGCCTATGTTGTTAATAAACCTTAATTATTAAATGGTGGAGCATCACTTTAAATTAATGTATTAGTGCCCTTTCCCCCAGACTACAACAGCAGTAGCATGTCCAACATGAATCACTTTTAAAGGAATAGTTCACCCAAAAATTGAATTTTTTTGAAAACGTCCCTCAGGCCATCTAAGATGTAGATGAGTTTGTTTCTTCATCATAACAGATTTTAATAAATGAAGCATTATATCACTTGCTCACCAGTGGATCCTCTGCAGTGAATGGGTGCCGTCAGAATGAGAGTTCAAACTGCTGTTAAAAATATCACAATCATCCACAAGCAATCCACACAACAGCGATACTGTGGATAGAGGACTCACATTTTACAAGTTTGAAGTCAGTTTTTCACTTCACATGACATTAATTGATGGACTGGAGTGATGTGGATTATTTCTGGATTACTGTGATGTTTTTATCAGCTGTTTGGTCTTTCATTTTGACGGCACCCATTTTTATTCTGTTCAGATGAAGAAATAATCTCATCTACATCTTAGATGCAAATTCCTTTAACTGCTTTCTGCTTTCAGTTTTTTCTTTTGTGTTTCAGATGGGCATCCTGATCAGTGCCGGCTTTATTGTATCCTGGACGCCCTACGTGTTCATCAGTCTCTGGACAATGTTTCACTCTGATGGCAAAGACAGCGTGGCGCCCATTGTCAGCTTGCTACCCTGCCTCTTTGCAAAATGCTCAACGGTGTACAACCGTTTAGTCTACTATGTTTTCCGCAAATCTTTCCGCAGAGAGCTTCGGCAAATCCGGATGTATTGTTGCTGGGATGCTGTGAGCAAAATGACACTCTGTATAGGAGCAGAAAGCTCAGAGTAAACTAGCAGGGCACAAGAGACAGCAGAGTGAACACACACTAAATAAAAAGAAAAAGGTTGCCGGATGGTTTGCAATATGGAAACGCTTGGACTCGGTGTGCTATGGCATTTTATAAGAGCATCAAGTCTGTGTCTGCAGCAGCCCACAGTAGTGCACTACTGCATGAACATGGGACACGGAATAAAGTAATTAGCAGAGGAAATTTTTGGAAACATTTCATAAAGATTCATCTTTTGATGCCAGTGAAACAAGCAGCACTTTAGCTTCAGATATTCACTGTCCCAGTCAAATGCTGCCTGTTTGAACAATGTCCTTTTACCTTATCTTTTACTGCTGCCTAACCTTTTCGCTTTCGGCAGATTATTGTGAGATCAGAGCTATTGTAATCTTTATAAAAAATAAATGCTTTATAAGAAGATAGAATGGTTGTTCGATTGATCAATCGAATGGAAGATTTTTTTTTTTTTTGCAAAACTTTGTCTCAATAATTTTGTCTTGTGTTGCTTTCAGTTTTCCATTGAACCTTGTTTTTCATTAAAGGGATAGTTCACCCAAAAATTAAAATGACCCCATGATTTACTCACCTTCAAGCCATCCTAGGTGTATATGACATTCTTCTTTCAGACGTATACAATCGGAGTTATATTAAAAAACATCCTGGCCCTTCCAAGATTTATAATGGGAGTGGATTGTAGCCCAAAATTTGAAGTCCAAAAAATGTAACCAATCCATTATAAAAGAAGTCCACACGGCTCCGGGGGGTTAATAAAGGCATTCTGAAGCGACGCGATGCGTTTGTGTATGAAAATTATCCATATTTACAACTTTATAAACCTTAATCTCTAGCTTCCACTAACTGTCATACACGCATTCACGAGAGAGTGGCATCCAGTGGATGACGTAGCACGTAGGCAAACGCGGTGACGAACGCGGAAGTGATGAACATGGAAGCGCAGAGGAGAGAGCAAAACAAAACACCGGTCACGAATTAGTAGTAAAAAACGAAGATTTGTAAAGAAAAATGTCAGAGGATTTCAATATAAGCCAAGAGGACACTGGTTTTCCTTTGCTGTAAACAAAACTTGTTTCTCGCGAGACTAGCATATTCTCACCGGAGTTTACGCTACGCCTACGTCATCCGCTGGACGCCACTCTCTCATGAATGCGTGTACGACAGTTAGTGGAAGCTAGAGATTAAGATTTAAGTTGTAAATATGGATATTTTTCTTACACAAACGCATCACGTCGCTTCAGAATGCCTTTATTAACCCCCCGGAGCCGTGTGGACTTCTTTTATAATGAATTGTTTCAATTTTTTGGACTTCAAATTTTGGGCTACCATCCACTCCCATTATAAGCTTGGAAGAGCCAGGATGTTTTTTAATATAACTCCGATTGTATTCGTCTGAAAGAAGAAAGTCATATATATCTAGGATGGCTTGAGGGTTAGATAAATCATGGGGTAATTTTCATTTTTGGGTGAACTAACCCTTTAAAATCATTTTTCACACTGACTGTTTCTTGTATTTTCCTCCTGCGTTCTTTATTCTGCAATAATTGTTGTGAATCTTTCTTTAATAGTACTACTTATGCACATGTAATGCATCCAAAGCTGTAATAACCAGTGAAAGGGGCTGATCATCAGATGAGGTACACAGATTGAAAGAAGGATCCTGTTAATGGCTGTTAATGCATGACTCCTTCAAGACAAACACCCCATTGAGACTTTGATCAAAAAGTCACGCTCACTATGTCAAGCTATAGGGCACAGATGCTAAACTTGTTGTTAGACAGAATTCTTCTAAAACTAATAAAGCCGCATTAGGTGTTCCTTCAACTACAGTATGATCACTTTTAATACAGGCTTGGAAACATTTAATCATTTAATTATTTGTGCTACTTTGCAATTGCCTTTTATGTACATGTATGTTATTGTTTTAGTACCACACAGTCACAAATATTAAAAATAAAATCACATTTAAAAAAGATTAAATAAAAAAAAACTTTTGGTCGTTGGCTCTTCCCCAACCATAACTTTTTAAAACACCACTGCAGAGTAACTCTCTGTGGGATTTCTGAGTTGTCGGCAGGAGTGTCTTATTGAATTAAGGAGCAGATCAAAGTGAAGAGGGCTGACCAGGACACATAGGACACACATCCCAGCAGCTTTCTATTCCCATCCTTACTTTACTATCCTCAGAGAAGCACAGATGGACACTCTGAGAAGTGCACTCTGGATGTAGGTTAATGTCTGGACATATAATTTTGCTCAGTTTCCTCAAAGTGTAAAGTGTCTCTGATGGCATGGTATGTCAAAGCAATAATTGGCTTGAAGGGCTGCGTTTCTTCGCTAAGGAACAAACTGTGACGTCATCAGTAAGCAGAAAGAAATCAGTTTGTTCATGTGAACAAGTGTGTCATTTCTCTGAAACTATAGCGTCACCAATCAGAATTACAGGAATAATTGTTTCTAAAAACCTCAACCCATCAGCCATTGGTTGAGCCATTTATCCTGAGTGCAACCATTACAGCACATGCTCCCATCCACATTGTATGCATACAGTGATAAATACAGCATAGCCAATTTGCATTGGCAATAATGCTAATAACATTCATCTGAGCCCCGTGAAACTTTCAGACCTTTAAATCACTTTCTTGGAGGGAAGGGTGACAGATCCATGATCTAATAGGATTTCCCAGAGAGCTTCATCACAAGGAAAGACACTAGCCATTGAGTGCTTCAGTGATTACTCAAACCACAGTTGGAACCAAACTAACACATTAAAGGGTTAGTTCACCTAAAAAATGAAAATTCTGTCAATAATTACTCACCCTCATGTCGTTTGAAACCCGTAAGACCTTCGTTCATCTTCAGAACACAAATTAAGATATTTTTGATAAAATCCAGCAGCTTTCTAAACCTGCATAGACAGTAAGGGTCCTACCATGATCAAGGTCCAGAAACGTAGTAAGGACATCATCAAAATGGTCCATGTGATATCAGTGGTTTAACCGTAATTTTATGAAGCTACGAGAATACTTTTTGTGCGCAAAGAAAACAAAAATAACAACTTTATTTAGCGATTTCTTCTCTTCCTGGACAGTCCTCCGCCATTATCGACACATGCGACACAATATTGACACGTGGTGCTGCTGATGTAGAACACGCATGCACTGCACCTTGTTGCGCATGCGTCAATAATGGCGGAGGACTGTCCCGGAAGAGAAGAAATCGTTGAATAAAGTCATTATTTTTGTTTTCTTTGCACACAAAAAGTATTTTCGTAGCCTCATAAAATTACACTAGATCCACTGAAATCACATGGACCATTTTAATGATATCCTTACTACGTTTCTGTGCCTTGATCGTGGTAGGACCCTTGCTGTCTATGGAGGGAATTTGTGTTCCAAAGATGAACAAAGGTCTTAAGGGTTTGGATCGACATGAGGGTGGATTATCCATGGATGAACTATCCCTTTAAGTGATTAGTCAAATATAGTCTAGGGTGGTCATTTCTATAACAACAACAACAAATTAAATGAAGCCTGGATCAATCTGACATCTGCCCCCTTATAGGGATAGTTCACCCAAAAACGAAAATTCTGTCTCAAGATGTTCCAAACCTTGAGCACAAAAGAAGATATTTTGAAGATTGTTGGAAACCAAACAGTTACCGGTGGCCATTAAAGGGATAGTTCACCCAAAAATGAAAATTCTGTCTTTAATTACTCACCCTCATGTCGTTTCAAACCCGTAAGACCTTCGTTCATCTTCGGAACACAAATTAAGATATTTTTGATGGAATCTGAGAGCTGTCTGACCCTGCACAGACTACAACGCAACTGAAATGTTCCCAAGTTATACGAAGCTACGAGAATACTCTTTGTGTGCAAAAGAAAAGAAATCTCTTTATTCAACAATTTGTCTCCTCCGCATCACCCTGTAGTGCCATTTTGGAGAATATCCGCTGGACGTAAACAACGTATGCTGTTCTGTCTTAGCTGCGTCACGCCGGATCTGTTTCCTATGTTGTTGTGATTTGATCTGAACGAAAACAGCGTATCCGTGTGACGCAGCTGACACAAAAACTTTTGCGCACAAAAAGTATTCTCGTAGCTTCGTATAATTACGGTTGAACCCCTGATGTCACATGGATTATTTTACAGATCTCCTTGCTACGTTTCTGGACTTGGGAACATTTCAGTTGTATTGCTGTCTATGCAGGGTCAGACAGCTCTCAGATTCCACCAAAGATATCTTAATTTTTGTTCCGAAGATGAAGGAAGGTCTTACGGGTTTGAAACGACATGAGGGTGAGTAATTAATGACAGAATTTTCATTTTTGGGTGAACTAACCCTTTAACTTCCATAGTATTGTCCCATACTATATTCCTAACTATTCCTTTAAATTGAATTCCAGGGGCTTTTTTATAGACCTTATAGCTCATAGAAACAAATGCGCAGCCATCTTTAGATTTTTGTCTCTGAACTCCTGTTTTTGCGTGGCTACAGCTATATCATTGTTAAAGAGTAATTAACAGGTGAAGTGGATTTACTTATTGAGATAACCAAAGATATAATGAGCAATTGTAATGTTCAAAGCAGATGTCATAACAAATGTCAGTAGATTGTATTCTTATGACTTTACCTTCACCCTGAAGCTCTATAGCTCTATAGGGGCGCCGTTTCTAGCCTTTTTTAATGCATGCACCCCCATTCATGTAAATTCTTAAATGTATTCATTTAATGCATTTATAATAATAAGAGACTATAAAACTGACTAAAATGACATATGCAGCATATGTCCAAGCCTATTTTCAACTTTTTATTTTTTATTTTAAAAAGTTTTCCAAATTACCACACATAAACAGATATAGTGCATACTTGCATAACACCAGATGTAAGATGCTAAATCCAGTTAATTAGTAAGCTACTGTTTCCACTAATGAATTCAGAGATAAGAGTTATGAATAATTCAACGTTATTGATCAAAGGTAAATGAGTCATGCAAATGTGTTATTAGGAAGGAAAAACTAAAATAATAATATGCAAAGGAGGTTTTTAGATGTCCTTTGAGGAGGTAGTGTCCACAGCAATAGGACTGCATAAGTGAAGACACAGAAAGGTTGAAACGCATCAACGCATACAACTGGTAGCCTACAGAAATGAGAAGTGTAATTGAAGAAAAAGTTCACCCCAAAATTTACAATTTGCAGAAATTTCCTCACCCTTAGGCCATCCAACATGTAAAAGAGTTTGTTTCTTCATCTGACCAGATTTGGAGAAATTTAGCATTACATCAATTGCTCCCCAATGGATCCTCTGCAGTGAATGGGTGCCGTCAGAATGAAAGGCCAAACTGATAAAAACATCACAATAATCCACAAGTAATCCACACTACTCCAGTCGATCAATTAACATCTTGTGAAAAGCTGCATATTTGTAAGAAGCCAGTTTATCATAAAGATGTTTTTCAAACCATTGCTTCCAGTTAAAATACAAGTCCATAATCCATAATGTTGCATAATATTGCTGTTGTGTTTGTAATAAACAAATCCATCATCAGAAATCAGTTTCATTCAGATAGCACCCATTCACTGCAGAGGATCCACTGGTGAGCAAGTGTAATGTTGTAGATGTAATGTTAAATTTCTTCAAATCTGCTCTGAACATACAAACTCATCTACAACTTGGATGGCCTGAGGGTGAATATTTTTTCAGAAAATTTTTATTTTTGAGCGAAGTATTCCGTTAACCACCACAGTACACCCACAGGTCTCTGCTACAAGAGCCAGCTAAAGAAATAAACATGAGATTGCAGATGAAAAACGTAGCTTTAATTGTGAACGGTGCTCAAAAATTTCCTCAAAGCATTGTGCTGTTATTGCATAATTTGTGTCACTCCTGCTGTGCACACAAACCAAATGTGCTGAAACTCTCAGATATCTCAATCTCAGAATAACATATAATTGCCTTGGTGCCCTATACTTTAAAATGGCTCCAGATTTGATTATTCATTTTTTATTTTAGGATGAAAGTCCCAGTTTGTTTAATTTAAAAAAACTGTGACATCTGAAGCTTGCTAATTTTATTTGATTTAATTGCCTAAATGCAAAGAAGAATCAGCTACTTATTTCTTTCTGTGTTTTCTGTTTCTGTAATCAAGTGTGTTTTGTGAGGATGCATGATTGCAATTTATGGCTATTGTACAGTGACAGTAATGCACTTGTATGAGATATGACTTTGATTCTCCAAAACAAACAGAATAACAGTAGTTATAGACCTCTCTCTCTCTCTATATATATATATATA